AATCCATCAACCGATGTGGCGTCTGTTTGCCTTTGGGAGCTAGAGGAGGGGGTGTGTGGGGTGGGACCAAAGCCTGAAAGCGGAGGAGAAAGGTCAATTTCCTGTACATCCTGAATCCGACAAGCAAGAGGGTGGGAGCAGAGCGCCTGAAGAGGGGGAGGGAAGGAGGCTAGACGAATTGATTGGTGGATTTTTCCCATTTTTCCATACTTAAACAAACGCCTCCTCGCATCCTTCGATATTCCTTCATACTCATATTCGAATAAAACCATACTCCCATACTCTCGTACACTCATGCATACTCTCGTTTTCACATTCCTCTATCTTTTCATACTCTTACATTCCCATACTTTCACACTCGCCTACTTGCACAATCCTATAATAACATATTACCTTCCCATACTCCAATACTCCCAATCTCCTATACTCCCTCACTTAAGTACACACATTTTCTCATACTCCCATAGTATCATACCTATTTACATAATCTAATATTAACATACTACCATAAACCCAATTTTATACGCTCCCTTACTCACGTACTCGCATATTCCCATATTCCCATAATCACATATTCACACACTCACACTCTCATTTTCCCATACTCGTATATGCACATACTCCCATACTTACACACAAAAAGTTTCTCACACTCTCATTTCCCTACACTCGTATACTCCCACATTCGCATACTCCTATATGTCAACAATTCTATACTTCTATACTTACTAGCTTACATATTGGCATACTCTCATAAACCCATACTTCCACATGCCCACACTTGCATAATCCAGTACTACCATATTACCAAATAGTCACACCCGCACACTCGCATGTTATCACACTCCCCTGATTGCATATTCCCGTAGCACCATCTTCCCATCTTCCCATCATCGCATACTCGCCTACTTCCACGTTCCCACATTTCCCTATTTGCATACTCACATAGTCCCATAGTCCCATATTCCCATACTCACACACTCGAATAATGCCATCTATCAGGCTCTCGAGTCCCTGTCACCTCTACTGGCATCCACTCAGCAGGTCGAGATGGGCATACGCATAGTTGGGTAATTAGGGGAAATGCTGTTGAGTAATGTGTAGGAAAACGAAGAGCTGGGACGCAAGTGTGAACGGCTGCCGGTGAGGCAAAGGGTGAGATGGAGGGCGGATGGAGGGTGGATGAGGTGCCCAGAGCGGAGCACTGTTTGTGGGGTTAATGTGGATTCGAGCCGGTGATGACAAGCCGATTCGAGCAAAGAGTCGCGAGGAGGGTTGAGCAGAGCAGAACGGAAG